AACAAAACTTGTCGGATCTAGCATAAAATCTGTCAGATATTAGAGATGCAATAAATAATTGGTACGTAAATTATAGCTAGAGATAACCAACAGTGTGCAGAGAAAAGAACCATTTGCACATCATTTTCCCTCTATTTCCCTCCAGAAGATTATTCCTATCAACTAAAAAATGGCTCAAGAGATGGCCTTAAGAGAGGAGATAGAAGCCCTGGTGGTGCAGTGGTTTGAATCTGCCCATTGGTGCCATGGAACAAAGACCTGGCAAACTTCCTTAGAAGAGGGTAGTAAACCAGATGAGGTACTTCTACTTTGATGGGATCACTGATTGAAATGAACTGAACAACACCCAGCAAAAACAATTCAGACATTAAGTTCCACCCTAAAACCTTGTTGATCCTTGGGTAAGACAATGTCTTATCTAAAGGACTTAATATAAAAGAGTTGGAATCACTCTACACCTGGTTTGTCTCAAGAATTTTCCTATTTTTCTATAGCATTCTTGTTGAGGTGTTCAAGAGCGGCTTTGGTATACTAATCCAATCATTTCAGCGGAGAAAGTCCAAGACTAAGTACCAGGGGAACGTGATTTGCATTATGACTCATCTCCCAAGAACGGACACAAAAACATATTCTCAGGCTCTCAGAATGACAGGTTCTGAAACCACAGATGCCCAGATTCAAGCATGACAGCACTCGTAATTACCACAGGTCACTGAGACCAGTGTCTCTGTGGGCACTGCTCTATCATCCCACTGTATTGTCTTGAAACAATAAAACTTTGCATATATTAGATGGAATCTTCTCCTACAGAGTATAACTCGTATAACTTCCTAAGGCTGACTCTTTAAAAGCAGCTTTATTAGATAATATAACCTCTTGGGGCAAGTCAAAGCCACAAATATGTAATCACCATTTCCCTTTATAAGATTACAAGGCCTTAATACCCTTAGAGTTAACAGAAAATATAAACACAGAACATAAGACGTAGACACTAATCTGACTCTTAGCTTGCAGATACTTTAAAAATAATTTGTTTATATTGTATGCCATCCTGTTGCTTTCTCGTTAAGCTCTGATCTTTGTAGCAGTCCATGTGCTGTCTTCGATGATAACAAAAGAAAGCCCCACTACTGAGGAAACAAACTTGACTGCTTTAATATCTCAGCCATCACAATTATGCAAACTGCAGGTCTACCACCAGATAATGATAATGTAAGCATGGTTCCAGGACTGGCCTATAAACCAAACAGACTAACTAGATTCAGAGTTGGTTAACAACAACACCTGTCCTTTTAAAAAGCAACAAAACATTCACCAAAAAGAGAGAAGTGCATCTGTATTCTTAACCCCCTTAGCAGGAAGTTCTATCTAGTTCGATTTAAAAATAAGTAAATGATACTGTCAGTTAATTGCTACCTTTACAATTCTTGATGCACATTCTGAGCTGCACCAGTTGTGGACACTTGTTATTACAAAAGTGCCTATTGCACAGGCATTAAAATAGAATATTTGGATGCTAATTTTAAATTAACATTGTGTGTGCCAGGAAGCAGGTTAAGAATGAGTTATAAAAACAAATCAGTTCAAGCAACAATAATAAACAACATATTTGAGAGAAAGAAATATGAACAATCCACTGAGATATAGAAAATGCTATGATTCAATCCTTTTAATCTGTAGACTCTATATTTTCCCTGGAGAAGGGGACAGAATTCACCCCCTTTGGGAATGCTGCAGGTGCTGGGAAGGGCGGACATCCATTACAAGAATTGTGATTGAGAACTCTGGAAAGTCAGCAGACAGCAGCAAACCAGTCTCTTATGAAGTGTAGACACAGATGATCATTTAGCAACCCTAGCATTACTGCCTTTCCATTTCTTAGCGACTCCCATGGTCTTGTGCAATTAAGCACAGATAGACTTTAAAACAAGGCTTTGTATCTGGTGGGCAGGAGCTGTGAGTGGTACAAATGATTTGTCCTTTCCTGAAGGTTGGGAGTTCTAAACAAAACGACGAAACGGAAGGTTGGTAGTTCCTCCCTAGCCAGTAATGCCACAGGGGTGGGAGTGGGGGACTAAGAAGGTCTGGGGACCCCTATGATACAATTACACAAACATCCCTGGGGCACAATTCCATCTGAGGGGCAAGAGGCCGCCTTTTGTTGTTCCTTTTTTGGCGTCAACTAGCAGAATCAGCATCAAGGGGCATGTCTCCACAGTGACAATAACACCACCACCTCCTATTGGTTTCCATAGGATTATGTTCATTTCTGTTCAAGGATTATGTCATTCTTTTGTTGTCCTTTGATTATTTACTGCTTTTAATCTGAGAGCTAGATTTCCTAATGATCCTAAATTAATGTTTGGAAACTCTTATCACCTCTATTTTTTCCTGATTATATTCCCATGCCCATGTCTGCCCCAAGCATATGTCTCACCTGATTCAGCTTCAAAGGTGCAAAAATAATGTCTTGGTCAAAGCACCTTTAGGGCAATTGGGAAAAATAAGTTGAGAATGTTTGGCATCTGAACAAAAGTTTAATTGGGAAAAATAAGTTGAGAATGTTTGGCATCTGAACAAAAGGTTATTATCTTTTCTCTGTCAGCTCACCTACTGCCACCAAACTTTTCCAAACCATATTTTTTCCCATAGACTCCTTCATTCTTAGACTCTCACCAAAGCTCAATGTCAATGTTTCTCAGCCTTTCCTTTTTTTCATTATCATCATCTTGCTCTTCTTAGGAGTCTATTTATATATTTAAAAATCATTAAATATTAATAGCATAGGTAGGCTGCATATCAGTTTATATGCTTTGTTCTTTTGAAGGAACAAAACTGATTATAATAGCTATGGATTTTCATCCCTTCCCCCCAGGACCAACTTTTACCCCCTGGAGCACAAAGTTACCTACATTGAGAATACATGATGTATATCATATTTTAAAAGTGCTGTCATTTGAAAAAGTTCCCCAAGTAACAAGCAATTGTGAGTGTTTACTTGTTTTCTACTCATTATACAACACATCTCCTATAGCATTGTTTGTCTCTTCCAGTCTTGTTCATGAATCCAACTGCCATCAAGACATCTGAACCACTCAAAATATGGGTGTGTACTCTTAAAGGAGCTGCAAAATACTCTCAGCTGAAATTTGAAGAAATAAAATATTCAGGGTAGTGTTTTAAATCGGGATAAAGCATTCCCACATACTAGACCTATGAAAAGTATTAACAATGAAAACTCTAACATCAGTATGTTCTCTTCCAAGCAAAAGTACCATCTTCCAAACTTTATGACTTAGTTTTAGTAAGAATCTTGGGCAGTGGTTACATTCTGTCCGGGACTTCTTCTACCTGACACTTTGGAGGATACGGATTACAAAATTATGGTTATAAAGTCATGCAAATGATAGATTACACAGTTCTATCATGTAGCTGAAGTACAAATATGAGCAAATCTAAAAACTAATACTCCATTGATCCTACCAGGTGGAAGTATTAACAAATGAAACAAGTCTAATTAAAGTTTGGTCCTCTGCCTAAACCCTTAAAAAGCTGAGCAAAGAACAAACAGAAAAGCCTGCACCATCTAACTGAGGTCGGTGGTGATTCACCAATCGGCTGTTGGACTATCTTACAGAAAAGCACTGTGTGGAAAACAAGGCTGTAAATAGAAGAGGTCTTATGACTAGACATGGTTATATTCCCTCTCCCCCGTCCACACATCTAGCCTACTTCAGGTGACTTGAACACACTCAAAAAACACAAATGTTATCAGAAACATATGTTTTTTCTCTTAAAGTTCCAAGTTTTTGTACTTCAAATTCAAGGCATACCTAATGAGAAATGGACAAAGGAATGAGCTGGCTTCCGGGAGTTCTCTGAGTAAGACAATCCCATATTGCTTACCCAAACAGCCAAATCATAACAGGCTTGCATTCACCAAGGAGCAATGTGTTACAACTCTCAGGAAGTAGATGGACATAAAGATACTGATGAAGAAAGAAAATCAACAACCACAAAGAAATGATAGGTCAGTTCAGGTAGAAGGCAGAAACAGTTGCAAAGCCCGGAAACATCGGCTGTCCTTAGAAATTGTATAAATCAACTTCAATGCTTGGTGGAGGCCCCAGAAAGCAAATACATTCCATTAGATCTCTGGGACCTAATGACCCAGGTGTCCTCCCAAGTGAAGGAAAATAAACAAGTCTGCTGGGATCTGGCTTGGGATAGCTATTTGGAGAGCTTTGCTCCTTGCAAACCGTTGGAAACTCTTCTGTGCAAGGAAACTACCAACTGAAGTGCGAGTCCCCTGTGGTAAGGAGCCACCCCCAGCCCCTTCTCCTGGACTCCTAGTTCCGGAGCCAGCCTGAACTTCAATGGGAAAGTCATCCTAGGGGCTGAAAGGGTAAAATGCTGCCATCTCAAGGCAACTAAACTGACTCTCCCCCCCTGATACAGCTGTGAACTCAACAGCATCATGCCCCCTGCCCACACCAACATGATGATAATGAATGGAAATATCAATCACTGAGAGACGGTCACTTTGAAGTCTTCCCAGCTATCACATAAGCAAGCCCTGACTTTCCTGGGGTTTCAAGTCCATGGCGTTAAGCGCCTGCCTGACCAAGGGGCGACGCAACAAGCAACTTGCAACTCCAGGATGAAGCACCTACCTCATTCCTGATCAGAGTTTACTGGCCCCCCAAATGACGTTTCTAGGGTGCAAGCTGAGTCTTGGGACCAGACCTGCCCCCACAGCAAGAACCCCACACCCCTCGTTCGCATTCCAGAGGAAGGGACTCTGAGGAATGGGATAGGCTTGTGACCCCTCTCCCTGGACAATGCATTCAGGCCGAGATTGTAAGTATAGTCTGTGGGGGCGTGTGTGAGTGGGTGAGTGTGTGTGAGTGGGTGAGTGTGTGTGTAGGCGGGAAGGGACAGGGGACACCAATTGCCACCACAAACGAGTGCTTTTAAGAAGTAAAATCTGAATCTCTTACCATCTCGTCTGAGGTTGGCGTTGCGCAAGGCTTTGATGGATGCGCTCTGCGGAGTTGCCAAAGTGCCCCCAAAGCTGCACAAGTTTAGGCAGACTAGGATGTCGAGGAGGCCGAGCCGGTGCATTGGGATCAGCGGCCCAGGGACAGCTTCGCTCCCAGAAAAAGCCGGGCTCCGCACCCGGGACCGACGCCTCGCCGCGCGCTGGCCGCCTGCGTTCGCCCAGAGATGGCCCTGGACGCCGAGCTACTCGCCGAGCTCCCCGCAAACTTCCTGCATGCTGAACTTTCCGAGCGCGTGTGCCTGCTGCCCTTCCCGGCGGGGCTGCGAGTCCATAAACGGAGACGGGACAAGCCACAGGTTGACGCTTCTCGCCCCCTCCGGTGGCCAGCGGCTGCACCGCAGGCTGCAGGGGGCGGGCGGGCGTCCCGGGGACCGGCGGGCGGCGCGCTGGGCTCCGGCAGCGGCTCTGGGCAGCAGCAGCCTCCGGGCCGGCTGGACGTGGCTCAGTCTCTGGGCATGCCCAGTTTCAAGGTCGCCCAGGGCTCATTCATCTCTTTAGGTTTCCCCTTGGCAGTTGGACCCCAGAGAGAGCAGGGAATCATGTCGACTGAAGGAAGGGGGAGAGGGTAGGATCTCCTTAGTCTCCAAAGGTGACCAGAGGGGCGAGCCACAAGCCCCAGCTCCTGTCTTGGTGTTGGTGGGGCTTGGGGAGG